CATTTTTGAGAAATTATGTACCGTGTGTCAACTCAGCATCTTTCAGAGCATGTATACCCTGTGTCACCTTCAGTTTCAACACGGGAGCCACTTTACGAAGGGCTGATTTGATCAAGATTGACAAGAGGTTAGACAGCCTCTTTTCGAAATTGGAGTTTCACTGTGACTTTCCTTTTGATAAATAGGAATATTTTGTCACAGATCTCCTTTCGTAGTAAGGTTGACAGTGTCGAAACAAGACTTACTGACGGGGAAATAGTAAGGATGTAAATTTCGTTGTGAGCGTGATGGATGTTTCCATCTTCTTCGTTAGCATTCGTGACAGAATCTGTTCTGAAAGTAACGACACGATGTAACGGTACGGAGGTGTGTCCCACTAAGTTGTACTCCACCACATCGGAGTATACAGAGTTCAAATTCAATCATTGGTTCATTTCTACAGGATATCAAAAATATTTGGGAAAATCCAAGTTACCGGCCACGGTTGGTATGTAGTATTGAGCTTTGATCAAGTTGGAATTACCACCCAAAGCGTGATACAATTCAGGATAAAACGGCCAATACTTTGTTCTCCTTAAACGTCATCAGTAGACGACGATCTATTTTGTGGTACTCTATCGTGAAACTTCTACTTGCTCTCTAGAAAGCTTTAGCAAACGTGGAATTGAACCTCTTAGCAAAAGTGTTCACCAAATGTTGACCACTACAATAATAGACCGCATAAGTTTTCAACTGAGTTTCCTGGTCTGTTGATTTGATGGACAGCTACACCAATGCGTTCGTCAATGGCTTTTACCACCACATCGTCATAAACTTATATTGCCAAAGTGTTTTCATTTTCGACGATGGTTTTGATTTTTGTAAGTTGATTGATTTCCATCAAATCCCACTTCCCACTGGGCTTTGTGATGCAATTGAATGGCCTGAGATAATCTGGTCGTGCAACAGCACAAAGTTTTCTTGGGAAACACTTCCATGGAACTGTCACTGGTTAACGTTAAGTAAAATTGATTGTACATAATTCCACAATTCTAGTGTCCAAATAGTCAAAGGAAGACAGAGGAGTGTCTAAAAGAGCATTTTTAAGGTGACAGTTGGAACTAAAGTTGGACACAGGATTTCCGTTGTTGCTTCCTTAGAAGAGTATTTCAGAGATGAATTTAGAAAATAACCAATGCAACTGCTGTGTAAAATGGCCCACAACTGTTTGTCTACTTGTTGCAAACTCATATTGGCAATAGCACACCGATGGCACAATAGACCACAAAGATTTGGCAGAAAAAGACGATTTGCGTTTTAGGCACATATCCTCCACAACACTCCCAAAATTGAAGCTTTTGTAGATCTTGCAGAGAAGAACTAGGCGAATAAGTGGTCACTCTCATAGCTGAGACTGTGTTGAAGTTCATGTCAGTCACTTCTTTTTATAGTCGAAGATTTGAGAAGCGTCGATCCAAGTGTCAAACCTTGATGGATATCCTTTCCAATATACTTTGACGTCTTTGACACGTCATTTTCAAACTTTTCGTGTTCTTCGATCGAGAATGCTTTCTATCTCGTACACGTCTTCGTTTCTGGTCACAAGTTGTAACTCGGGTAAGTAAAACGTTCTTTTTAGCACTCGTTCAGTGACACGAAACAATTCAGTATTGGATCCCAATCTCATGCGGACAACGCTCAACCTTTCTTGGGGACAGTAAATGAAGGGGACATACCAAATAGGCGCTCGAAAACTGTCACTTCGTTGTCGGGAGTTACTTCCTGGGCGGCACGTCCAATGCTCCGATGGTAAGACTGGTTGTACGATTGAACGATTTGGAAGTCAATTGCACGACCCAAGGAAATTTGGAAAAGACATCGATGACACAAAAATATTTGTAGCCGCGATTGTAGGTTGCCAAATGAGATATATCGGCTAAACCAGCTTGCCGTTGATGATCCATGCCTTCCACTTGGGTGCGACGTCTATAAAGGTTTCGTCCAATGGATTTGTGTGAGGTGTACGTGGCTTAGTCTTATGACAATCGTTGTACTTGAGGTAAACGGACACTTTTCAGTATTGTTTTGAATGTCTGATACAATTTTTGATCTCCTCCCTAACCGAAAGGATGGGATGGATCGTATTAAACGCTGGCTAATACCTTCTCCATTTTTTCACAAGTGATCCACTATTCAGTGACGCTAATCTTGTTTTTCTGTGGTATTTTCTTGGTTTGTAATACTGTTCGTGTCCGACAAGCAATAGATGTCGACAAGGAGGATTACTGAACAGAGGTAATTGGTTCTTGTTTCACTTCTGGTTTCTGTTGTTTCTGAGTGGTCATCATTTTTATAAAACAACAAGTTCTGGATGTTGGTGGTGTTATCTTTCGCACCTTTTCTAGTTGAGTTTAAAACTCTTCTTCTTGTTCTGTCTTGACTACTGCTGTGGGTGGTGGTGGTAGTGGTGATGGACTTTTCATCAAGGCCTTAAAATCTTTCTGATTGGGAGAAGCTGTTTCGTCTAAAGCTTTTTGATGAAAGAGTTGCAATCGTTGCAGCAAATGACTGTAATTTTGTGAAATTTTCCGTTTCGGACAAATCGTTGCGATCTATCAACGATTGCAGTTCGTATTGCAACTGGGACATCTAGGTTAAAAAAGAATTGTGAGGTAAATGTTAGGTTCGTTGATATTGCCAACGATGGTATTACGTCCATCGTTTGTAAGGGATTAAAGTCAGTTTTTGTCCTTCCAACAGTGTTCAAGGATCACATGTGTGATCTTTTCACTCCAGTGTCCTCTTTTTATTTTCTTGCTCTTATTTTATTTTGCTCCAAATATTCCTCCCATCATTGTGCTCATTACTACTCTCAGCAAGATAGGTAACAGAAGTAAAATTCCTCCACGTTGCATTAACTTCTTTTTCTTTTGACTAATGAGATTTTCTGTTGGACTATTTGGCGTAGAACGTATCGATAATTTGCTAAGCATACTCTCTGGTGTTTAGACAAAATTGTCGTTCTCTTCAAGACATTTAGGCAACATTCACACATGGTATCAATAACATCTTTGGAGGCAGACTTAATGAGGTTTTTCGCATAGATGGACGAGTTTTGGTCAGGACAGACAACATGCCCCCATGTTTGGATAAACGAAGAGACAGTCCCTTTCTTTTTCCTTTTCCTTTTTGGACAGATAAAAAGACGGTGGGGTCATGTTGGGCCGTTCTGGAGCACAAAAACACTGATCAGATATGGTTTGCTATAGGTCGTTTTTAAATTGGAATGTGTCGCCACTGACCGTCTTTACGTCGTATATACTTGATGACAGGCGACACACTTTGTGGAGGAGTTTGCAATTAACTAAATTGGGCCAGTGTTTACTTGGAAAAATCTGGTAAACTTTTTAACATGCCTGATCTCTCTTGGGTTTTTATTTTGGAGCAGGTACTTTGTGACCAGCGGCCAATGCCGCTAAGGAGGAACAGGGTATCATCGCAGGAGAAAAAATTTTCGAAGACGCTCTCTTGTGAGTAGAAACTGTTTTCTGCGTGCTCTTCTTTTTCTTCCTATGAGACTGACTTGGTGTTGGCACTGTTGCTCTTTTTCCTTTTCTTTTGCTGAGGCGGTGTCCTAGTCTTGACATCATTTCTCTTTTCTTTTTTTCTGGGTGCGTCGGGGAATGGCTTTGTTCTTGGTGAGAACTTTGGAGGCCTAGGATCCCATTTTAAGAGGGAACGAATTATGACACCTTCTAGAGAACTGCTACCTCTAGGTTTCAAAATTTGATTTTTGTTTTGAATGCCAGTGCGAGGAACGACCAGTTGAGTCAAGGCAACTTTGTTTCTGTAAAAAAAAAAAAAATTTTCGTTTGATGTGGAATCTGAATGATGCCTTGCAGTAATTGATGTGTTATCACTGTAAACCATAGTAAGACTTCTTTGAGACTGGCCTCTAAGACACGAGCACGTATTTGTGGATTTTTCTCGACAAATGTCGAACAAGGCACGAATCAATTCGATGGGAAGATGAGACTGAAGGGATATCATTTTGATGCTGTGTGAGACAGAGCCAAAGTGCCAGAGATTTTTATAGAATTTTTTAGTGATGGTGGTGGTGACGTAGACTCTTCGTCTGCATTAGTTAGCCAATGTGTTCCTTACTGTTTGGCTAAGACTTGCACTTGTGACTAATCTCTAGGACTTTTAAACAAGGCTACGTAATGAGCATTGATAATGATGGTACGATGGGCTTTAATTTGTTGAAACATATTTTGAGTGATGTAAATGACACTGGCATTACGATGATGCCCTTTGCGCGTACACCACAGTTTAATTTCTTCTTCTACTAACATGTCATCAAAGATGATAAAACGGGTTTGACTGGGGTCAGACACGATTCCGTCGCCTTCAACATGAATGATTTCCAAAAAGGCGAAGGAATCACCTTGACTCTCTCGTAGAAGTCTGTACGCTGAAGACACTCTTTGAAACATCACACAATTAGTTGAGGTGGAAGATCGATCAAACGTTTGACAAATTCAGTTTTGCCAGAACCACTGGGTCAAGGAAATCAGCATGTCAAAGGGACGCCGAAGATGAAAGGCCTCCTAACTAGCTCGATCTAAGTGTTCGTCAATAACTCTGAAAGTGGAGGAAGTGGGAGCAGAGTCAGCAGAGGTAGACATAGAAGTGTAAGGCATGTGACCTTTTGACAGGTATACAGACAAGACAAGGGTGTCATACTTTGTTCACGTTTATTTTATAATGTGTGTGTGTGTTTGTGTGTGATTTATATTTGTACCGTAGCTTTAACAATGTTTCATTCATATCGCTACGACGTCTGCAGTGTGGAAGTTTATAGTGATGTCTAGCACTGGGGCATCATGCCGCAGACATGTGGCATGACGTGCCACCCAGTTACATTATCCTGACACCAGGCGAACCGGTCCTAACACTAACCTCTTAATGATGAGAGACAAGGGAGGCAGCTGTTAGTACCATTTTTTAAAGTATTTGGTACGACTCGGCCAGGGTCCGAACCCACGACCTTCCACATCCGAGGCGAACGCTCTAACCACTAGGCCACGTAGAAGTGAGCATCAGGCAAATGGCGATTTGATTGTATTGAAAAAGTGGTGAAAATAGCATTTGACCAATTCTGTCATGTCGAACATTTAAGGCATACGACTCAAAGATTCATGCCGTCCAAGTAAATCGTTGAATCTTTAAATTGCCCTTGGGCCTATTTGCATGAAAATGATTTTGATACCGTTTAAGTCACTTTAGGACGTTCCTTACTTTGTTCCTTATAGTTTGTCAACAGGAACTGGCCATCGTATCCCGAGAAATTGTGAGCCATCACCGTGGCATAGCAGTGACAAACTCCGTAACGTAACGTTCAAATATCCTTGAAGATCTTCTCTTGCAATTCGATGAGTAATGTTTGAAGATTATTTTTATATCGGGTTTAAATACTTGTCTAGGGGTGGCTCAACGATTGCCTCGTAACCACGTCGCTAATTTCTCACACGACATGGTTGTGTCACTTCAATGACCGGGTTCAACTAAAGGTATGTAGTTACAATCTGGAGACCATCGAGCATGTTCCAGATAAACGCAGTCTTTCTTCTTCTCCCACTCGTAAAGTGATAAGCCACAACTGAAGCTCTTGACTTTTATCCCCTTCTCCCAAGTAGAAAAATCCAGCTCTGGCTAATTCTTCTGGATATTTGGTCCATTTTTTCGGAAGGTTTGCAATTGATTTGCATAGTCGCTGTATTCAGGCAAACGTACAGGTAACGAATATTCGTTTTTCACGGATTCATTTCGACAAGGGTAAGGGAAAATCGTTAGGACAGTGTTCATGTTTGCATCACACCTGTATCTGCATGGTGTCCTATGGACGTGGACATCCACCATAAAACCAGTAAAGTGAAAAGTTTACAATAACGAGTGGCATCGTTTTCGCATCCGTCAGGTTTGACACGTACACCATCATCTTCATCTTCCATGGTAGGTATGATAGTCTTAACAAAGTTAACATGATGATAATGTGGTACTGAATTATCACTGATGTCACAGTGTACGGCATCTCTGCAACTGCACTCCAGTTTGCTCTTGCTGGATACTTGCTGAGTGACAAAATTAATATTTCCACCAATATCGAGGTGACAGAACGGTAAAGTGGTTTTAAAGCCGTTCTTGCTTCTGGTCCACGATTTGATAGAATTTTTCCATGGGTCGACTGATGTCTGTCCAGACTGTAAAGCTTCTTTTAGTACACCAAAATTCATCATTTGACTGGTGCGATATTTCAGAGTAAATCCTACCACTTTACACTCCTTGTGAACTTCTCCTTGAGGAACACGGAATTCATAGCCGTATTATGTGGGACCGCCACTTGCAAACTTAGAATCCTTTTCATCACGATGGTCGTCTGCCCAGGCTCCAAAACGGTCTCCTTCGAATTTAGTGGATGAATGGATGGATGGCTATATGTGTGTGTATGTATGTGTGTGCATGTGTGTGTATGTATGTATGTATGTATGTATGTATGTATGTATGTATGTATGTATGTATGTATGTATGTATGTATGTATGTATGTATGTATGTATGTATGTATGTATGTATGTATGTATGGATGGATGGATGGATGGATGGATGAATGGATGGATGGATGGATGGATGGATGGATGGATGGATGGATGGATGGATGGATGGATGGATGGATGGATGGATGGATGCATGCATGCATGCATGCATGCATGCATGCATGCATGCATGCATGCATGTATGTATGTATGTATGTATGTATGTATGTATGTATGTATGTATGTATGTATGTATGTATGTATGTATGTATGAAGTATGTATGTATGTATGTATGAATGCTTGTATGCATATATGCATGCATGTATGCATGTATGTATACATGTATACATGCATGCATGTACGCACGCACTCACGTACGTATGTATGTATTTGTGTAATAAATCGGTAAACTAAATTTATATTATAAACCATCTCATTTATGGCAAACAGGTTTTATACTGTCTTAAGTTTTACATGCAAAAACGTTTTTATATGTAATAGCGATTTTTTTTATTTTTCATTTTAACTGTGTAAAATGTTTTTATTTATATAAATCTTTTAGGCAAATAATGTACCGTTTTATCACATAGGTGAAGCTCTTATTTCTCAAGTATAATTCTTTGTTTTATGCATACTTATCTCATACAACTTTAACATGTTCTTTGAATTTATGGCATTTGTTTCATACATTTAAAATATATTTATTTATGTGAATAAAGAATTCTAAATAAGAAACTAGATCTTATAGCGGCAAAATTTTATGCCTATATTTTATATATGCAAAAATCTTTATAAATATATGTTTAATAGCTGTTTTAAAGTGAAATCGAACGTTTATTCCATGGAAAGTGAAAACAGAGTTACAATAATTGGTTAGGCATAATTGCGTTGCTAATTTGCAGATGCTTCATAATTAACTAAAGACAAATATATTCCAAAGCTTTAAAGTGCCTCTCCTTTGGCATCATGACACAATTCTTGTAGATATATGAAGCTTATACTTCCTTCATTGCCTTTATTGTTTTATTGTTGCGATTGAGACCTACCTGCGCTATTGTTGACTCGGTTTAAAATGTCAATTTCTATTTGTGCTATTCCATAATACGCAGCAGTTTAGTGACATCAAATTGGTGGCAATTTGTTGGAGGTAAGTGTTCCAGAATTGATTGCCATGGGGCTATTCTATGTATCATGTATATCTAATTATGCTAATTTTTCTTGATAATCACTGCCGTTGTGAATAATGAATACGTTAAAGCCATTCTTCAAATTGGACGTTTATTGCTCAGCTTTATAGTCATATTCGCGAGTACTTGACATCTTTATTTCCAGGCCAACGTAATTGATACTGTCAGAAAATAGACAACAGGGTAGTACCATCTAATTTAGTGTCAATTTGATGGATGTTAGTGTACCTGACTAGAACGCCCTAATGCTACGTTAATTATGCACTGTATGAATCCTGTACATATAATATTGTCTTTGATAATCACTGCGCTCGCCTATACGAATAGCATCAAATCCATGCTTCCATCCTGTACATATAATATTGTCTTTGATAATCACTGCGCTTGCCTATACGAATAGCATCAAATCCATGCTTCCATCCTGTACATGTAATATTGTCTTTGATAATCACTGCGCTCGCCTATACGAATAGCATCAAATCCATGCTTCCATCCTGTACATCTAATATTGTCTTTGATAATCACTGCGCTCGCCTATACGAATAGCATCAAATCCATGCTTCCATCCTGTACATATAATATTGTCTTTGATAATCACTGCGCTTGCCTATACGAATAGCATCAAATCCATGCTTCCATCCTGCATATAAAACATTGTTATTGATAATCACTGCTCTTAACTATATGAACATAATCAAAATCATGCTTAAAATGAGACGTTTATTGTTCAGATTTATTTTATCCTCATAAATACTTTCCAGACATATTTGTTACTCAGTAAGCAATATCTAAACATATAAATTATTAAATATTAGGTTAAGCAGATGGCAAAACTAGCAATATATTCATCATGTACGTTTTGCGGTTTTTTATTATTGAAAGTACGGCTATATTTTTTCGCTTCATCGTTATGTATGACAATAATTTTTCTCTCATACCAAAAGGATGTTTCAAGATGCAAACTTAACAAGATATTTCGTTGTTCACAATTTGGTTAACTGTTTAGAATATTGGTGGTCTTACCTAGTTGGTTGGTTGACAGTTCACCTGCATGCTTGAATGCCTTATATATCTAAAAATAACCGAATATGTACTATAATTATTTATAGTCACTTTGAAATGACATTATAATGAGATGTATCCGTTGATATTCGCCCCGTACGTTTGTGGAAAAAAATTCTACCTCATGATCTGTGAAAGAAATAATACATAAACTTGACAGTATGTGACTGATTTTATATGGGATAGAAGCTTTAGTAAACTTCATAGTTAACACGTATTTTCTTTTCTCTTTCGTTTTACTATCATCATATAGAGACAATTTAATTTGCGTTTTAAACGTAGTAAAGGCTGTCTATGTTGTTATAAATAATAACAATAATAACCTTGGGGGAATGAGTTTAATTATTCACATTATTATCTTCTTATTTTATCACCGTTAAATATAAATTCTTAGAATCTTGCAGTGTTTCACCATATTGAACTTCATATTGCACAAACGAGCATGACGCGTGTGCCAACAAATGATAGGAACATTTTTTTATTGCAAACAACAATGGATGCAGACGCCAGCACTTTTGATTTATTTGTTTGTGCATGAAGTCAACCAACCGTTGGAGCCATTTGAAAGTAGAAATACTCAAATTGACAATATGTACGAATTCATTGTCACAAAATGAACTTTCAACGAAGCAGGCAACTGAACGTGAAATTAAAAATGTTCAGCGATGGCTTTGTGATAACAACTATTAGACGCGTTGCATTGAAAATACAATATGGGGTCAGTTTAGCAAATATTTAGCAGAGACGTTTTTAAATACTCCAATGTAAAATTAATGGAGACAAAAATGAGCGTAAAATAATGAAGACAAATTTGACAACCCTTTCGGAATCTGGGGTACTTCCAACAAAGATGGTATATGTGCATAGAAATGTCATCTATAACTTAGATTAATAATAAGAATAAACCTACTTGTCTATATGCATCTTGAATCTCCTGAAAATACACTTTGTGGGCTTTTTCTGCTGGTAAGAATTACGTAACTTCGAAATACTGATCCACGTCACATAAATGTACTCTAATAAGTAGGTAAATAACCCAGATTGCAGTTGAAACCGAATTCACATTCCATAGGAGAATTTTCTGCACTACAAAACGAAAAGTTGTTCACTAAAAATGAATGGTTAATCCAACATCTTCGTGAGAATTTAAATTAAAAGACTTTCATAATTTTTCGGATTACGATTCCAAATATTCAACTGATAAACAAAAACAGTCAAGGGTACAAAGTTCCGAATGCAAGAAACCTTTCAT